AATTAATAATTTTAATGGTTTATGTTTTTGATGTAATTTATCTAACTCGCTTAAGTTAAAAATATATGATATGCCGTTTTTGATAATATTTTTCATAATGATATTATCAATTTCAAAATACTGTGAATTCTTTAATTTGTAAGACTTATACACTGGTTTAAATTTACTAATATAATTTTTAATAATATTATTATTTTTTATTTTTAATAATCTAACATCACCTAAATTATAAGATAATACAAGGTTTTTAATGTCTAATGGTAAATCATAAAATATCATAATATATTTCAATCTTTATTTTATTTTAAATGCTTTTTCAAATCTAACATAAAACATATTATTAACATCTTTGGAATTCATATTAACATAAAAGAAGGAGTATGGTTATCATCTACCGCTTTATGATACATATTTAACAGTTGCTCTTTATCAACGATGGCGGAGTTTTCCTCAATGAATGACATTAACTCTGATACATTCTTTAACTTAAAGATATACAACGAACTAGAATTCAACCTAATGATTGGAGCAAGGACACGATATTTTTGAACACTTAAGCAAAAACTAATGGCGTCGTGTCTGCCTCTCGTTGCCAGTCCATGTAATAACTTGCTGTATCTAACAAATTTAGGGTCGTCTGCAAAATCATCAACAATGATTAAAATTGAATGTAGTTTCTTCATCTTCTGTTCTTTCATATAATGAATTATCTTTCTTTGTGTGTTAATTATTTCTTCCAGTTCTTCAGGTTGGTAGGTGTCATAATATAACTTTTCTTTTTCGTCATCAACCTTCATATTATCTTTTTGATATTTCTTGACTTCAACGAAGGTAGGGTCATTATGAACCGACGGGCTAAAAATGAATATACGGGCGAAGCAGTCCCTATAAACATTTAGGATAAGGTTTTGAATTAAAACTGTTTTGCCACCCGTTGATGAAGCAACAACAATTGAGCGAAAAGGTAGTTTTGGCACATGTTCATATTTAGATTGTTTGAAATCGTAATCAGTTATATTTATTGGTTTTATTATTGGAACATCAGACATAATAAAATAATATTAAAGTTATTTAGAAAATATTTTATATTTATTATTTTATATGAATAGAAGTTATTCGGATTATATTGATATAATAGATAAAGTAGAAAATATAGAACAAGTAATACTAACTGATAATAAAATTAAGAAATGTTGTTATTATTCATTAGAATTAATTAAGTTAGGAATACAATATATTAAAAATATAAATGTTAATATAGATGGGAAGAAAGAAAAAGAATAAGTCCGAGCCAGTTGTTTCTTCGACTGATGAAGAAAAAGAAGAAATTGTTAAAGAAACATCAGTTATTGAGTTTGCTTGTCCAATGTGTAAAAAGATGTTAGAAATGAAAAATGAATTAGAAATACAAAAGAAAGGCAACTGTAAATGTTCGTGTATTCCGTCAAGTTTCAAAATAAGTAGAAATGATAAGAAAATGAATATTGATAAAACTAAAGACAGTATAAACTTAGAAACAGATGTTCATAATATAACTTTTAAATGGGGTCGGCAAGCATCACCATCCGATAGTGGCGATAAGGAAACTCAGGAAACTGTTAAACAAATGATGAAAAAATAGTATTTAAAGAGTAGATTTAACATAATTGCAACATTTAGTTTTAAAAGTTTAGTTTTATAATTTAGTATATATGGAGGAACATTTAGCGAACATTGACAGTAGTTTAGAGTTGTTGTTTCCAAGATTAGAAAAAGTGTTGGAGCAAAATGAAAACATACTGAAAATCTTAAAGAGCTTGAATATTAAACCTACATATGATAACAATAACAATTATCAAGCAAAAGAAGTAGATAGAGACAGTAGCGAATACAAAAATAAACGAAACATTTATGTTAAAAAACTGAATGAAAAAATCATAAAAGAACCTAAACAATCAAGTCTGGATTACTATCAAGTCAAGTATAAAGAAGACACCAAGAAATACGTTTAATCATTAACTAACAAAATTTCGTGTCTCAAAAGCGGTTTGTTTATTTCTGCTACTTTGTAAGTTTTATTACCCATAATATCATATTCAATTTTATCGATATTGAATATTTTATTAGACCATTTAGAGTTATACTCCTTTCTGTCGGTGTAATTACCCCTTTTCTTTTGAAACACTTTTACCTTGTCGTTCTCCACTATTCTGGGATACTTTCTTTTGTTTTTTTCTCGTAGTTTAAGATTGACCTTTACATTTATTTCATTGTCGTCCTTGTGTGCTTCAGACGGTGTCATCCTTGTTGATGAGTGAGATGTGCTGTTATACTGTTTCAATGCCGGCGTTAGGGCGTCGGTCCATTTCATGTTGTTAAACCTAACTCTATCGTGAATTTTGTTTTTCATCGTTCTAATAAAACGCTCGGCCACATTTGCGTGGGTCTTCGTAACGATGTGGTTTATTCCTTCACTGTTGAAGAAATCCTGAACGTGATTTTTAGTTGCAAACGCTCCGTCGTCATCAGAATACACGGACATCGGATAACCCATCTTTTTAAAGCTTGCTCTCAACGCCTTCAAAACGTTCTCTCCGTCTCTTTCCTCCATCGGTATTACATCTGCTAATTTACTGAAGATGTCAATCACGACTAAAGCATACTGTGGAACGTTCTTGTCTTTTGCTAAAGGAGACATATGCATTATGTCTATTTGATATTCATATCGTGCGAATGGAGCGGTATAGGAATTAGTTCCTCTATAATTTTTGATTTGTTTATTTGGCTGTTTCTTTAAGAAAGACTTTACATCGTCTAATGTTATTGTTGGGTCTTCTTCCTTTGCCTTCTTGTGTGTCGCTTGTGTGCTTCCGAAACCCTCGTCTAAGTCGTAATAGATGTTGCTGATTATTTGGTCTTTTGTTAATCTCGCCATTATATTAAATTGTTAGAAAATATTTTTTCAATAAAAACCCCGCCCCTTAACATAAAATAAAAAACTACTTAAAGAAATATTAACTTATTATATTAAGTGAAAATATGACTGAAAATGTCGGAGTGATTGCTGACTTATCAAACTGGGTGCTATCAGACGAAGAAGATGATGATAATGACAGTTATAAAAAGGAATTAGATGACGAGTTAAACAAAATAAAGGATTTCGTCAAAAGACACCCTTTGCCATCAGTTGATGAAAACGAAGAATTCTGGAAAGATGTTATTAACAGGTTTAGGGATAATAGCGGATTAAACTTGATGACAATATACTCATTTGTTAGGTTTGACATCATGAAAGAAATGTATGAAAACCTAACAGATGAAAACATCATAAAAGACTGTGGTAAAAAGTTAAACCGAGATGGGCAGTTTAATGCTATGATTATTAACCACTATATCTTATCGGGAGCGATACGGAAACTAAACACAGAAGACAGTCTAGTAGATGGACAGATGCGAATTATTGAATTCTGGTGGGATGGAATAGGTGGATGGAAAGCGTGAGTGATTTAGTTTAATGATATTATTCAATTATAATATGATTAAACCTAGTTTTTATAATCTAACAATGAGGTTAAGACATTTAAATTAAACCTGAAACCCAGACCAGCCGACCAGCAACCCCTAGCCAAAACTACTTAAAGAGAAAAAGCCTTATATATTAAGAGAAAAATGAGTAAGGGTAAAATGTCAGAGAATAATTTTATGGATGAGAATTGCGCTAGCTTACCTGAAGGCTTAGTTTCAATCATCACTACTTACATTAATGGTAGTGAAGGGTGGCGAAGACTGAAACAATGTGATGCTTTAAGAGAATTACAAAGGAAATGGAAACCGTCTATTTACACTGAACGAGTAGGAGAAAGTAGATATTATGTTGAGATTCGCAATAAATGCTTAAAAGGTGATAAAGCGCTTTCATATGCGTTGAAACCACCAAAAGAATTATTAAGAATGATGAAGTATGATGAAGAAATACAGGTTGGAATAGTAGTTAGTTCAAAAATTATGTATAATAATAATATTTGCAACAGTCGTTCTTATTCATCATCTAAACAGAATAAGATTTCAAGTAGAGCGTCATTACAATACCATATTGAACAAGCAGTTGAAGAAACCAAACAGACTATGAAACGACACGAAATCATTACTATCGAACATGTTGCAATTGAAATTTATAGAAAACAGAAACAATGATTTCATGGCTTAATCATAATATTTAATTATAATATGATTAAACAGTGTAAACTTTTATAACCTTTCATTATACTGTAATTTCAACCTATAAAACATAACTAGACAATCACATAAAAATCACATAAAAAGAAGTTGTTAAGATATATTAAGAAATGGTTGTGAAGCAAACTATAATGAATAATTATGGAATGACAGAAGAAAAAGCAACAGAAGACTATGGTGAATTCTTCAAATGCAACAGATGTCTTTATGATAAAACAATTGATGAATTTGGAAATGTAAAAAGTGGAAGAAGATATAAATATTGTCAAGAGTGTAGAACAAAAATAAATAATTGTAGAGATAAACGTCAAAGAAACAAACGACCCACCAACACCCCAGAACTTGATAACTACTAAAAGGGCTACCTCTTTCAAATGAAAAAAATGTTTGCCCCTAGCCCAACAATGAACAAGGCGACAATTTACCCAAATGATTACCTTAACGAAAACGATAAATAAGCTCCCTAAAAACCCTCTTTTCAAAACGAATAAGGGGGAACACAGATTTGAGATGAACATAAAAACCATAACAGGCAACCATCAACAGACTTCCCCCCAGGCCCCCTACTTCTTCTATTTTTTCCCCCCCCCCCAAACCCCCCCAAACCCCAAACCCCCCAAACAACCCCCCAATAACCCCCCAAAACCCTGAAGACCACTTTTTCTTTTTCTTTTCCACGGCCCAACACCCCCAACAACCCCCCCCCCCCGCCGCCTCCGCCGGCCACCTGCTCCGCCGGCTCCGCCGGCCGCCGACTCCGCGTCCTCGATCCGTGCTCGCGCGAGGCGCGGCCCACGCCCAAGGCGCGGGAGCTGAAGGCGGAGGCCGAGGTCGTCGCCCCGCGGCCCGCGGAGGATCGGTCGCTCGGGTTGGGTTCGGGGTTCTTGGTGGTGGTGGGTTGGGATGGGTTGGGATGGGTTGGGATGGGTTGGGATGGGTTGGGATGGGTTGGGATGGGTTGGGATGGGTTGGGATGGGTTGGGATGGGTTGGGGTTTGTGAAAACATGGTTGGTTGGTTGGGTGGTCGGTTGGGTGGTTGGTTGGTTGGTTGGGTTGTGGGGGGTTTTGTGGCTGGGTTTCTTGGGTTGGGGCGGGTTGGGATGGTTGTTGTTGGGAAACATTTTACATGTTTGCTTATTGTGGTTTAGTGGCTGAAATCCAACCGCTTAACTGCTAACATTTTAAGTTTTTTGCTCCCCTTCCAGCGTTGGGGTTTGTTGGGTTTTCCTTGGGTTTTCCTTGGGTTTTCCTTGTGGTAAAATGTATGTATATATATATATATATATATGACCAAACCTTATCATATTAGGGTTGTAAGTAAAGCCGGCAGAGCCGGGGTGCGGAAGTTACAGATTTAGACTTGTAAGACCTAGTCTTGCCTAGTCCAATCTACCTATCTAGCTGCCTATTCGTCGAGGACAGGCAGGATGCTAGAGGCCCATTTCTTTTGACCCAGCGAGAGAAGCGGGGAAAGAAAGTTTGCGCCTGAGCTTAGCGGCAAAAACGGAGCAGAGACATGTTCGTCCCCTTTTCCTATGTATGAACGCCCCTGAAGACAATCCCTCCAGCCGAGCACTTACCGTTAAATACCCAATGCTAAGAGCCCCAGATGCGCATTTTAGTGCTTGTATGAGCTGTTTCTATTAGTAGGGCTTGTTTTGTGTGATCGTTTTTGTGTAAAAATCAAGGATGCCTCTCGTTTATAAGTTCTCACTCAACAGTTGCATTCTGAACAGTTTTGCAAATCAAACAAAGGGGTCCCCCGTTTCCAGTTTGAGCCTAACACTAAACAAGGCAGTAAAGGGGGACGGTTTATTATTAGGAGCACGCACAGTTGTCTGCCTTGACGAGAGCGCAGTCGCACAGTGAGGGGCAGAGCCGCAATGACATTGGCCCGTGTTTGCCACGTGGGCGTATGTCCAGGTTCGTGCGTGAATTCGTTGGTCAGGGAGGCCAACTGGCACTTGCAGAGCAAGGAGTAAGCCGCGGCAGCGCGTGCCGTGGATTTGAGCAAGATCTAGTATTTGCGTGATTGGCGCGCGCGTCCCGCGAGAGTGCAGATGAGGGAGCTGGCGCATGGCGTGGCCTGATGAGCAACATGTCAGAAGGAAGGCGTTGGAACCGCGGGTCGCCGGAACACACTCAGGCAAACAAAAGAGCAAGGCAAGCGTGGCAACTGCAACGCAGCGAGCGCGCTTGAAGATCGAAAGAGCAAGCGCGAGGAATGGTCAAAAACAGCAAGCAGAGTACACAGGAGAGCGGCGCCCCAAACGCAAGTGAGTGGTGTGCGCGGCATGTGTTGGACGCAATGGTGGCGGCGTGCGCGCAGAATGTCACAGTCGCACAAGATTGTCGCATGGCCGCCAACGTGGCGCATGCTACTCAACTTTCGCACCACACTCGCAAGTCTGGGGCGACACAGCGGGCAAAAGGGGCAAAAACTGTGGCACTCACGCTGCTCAGTCGTGTTGTTTGCGTTCACCAACACAGAAAGCGCAGCGCGTGCTGAACTGCTGCTGAGTGCGGCCGTTGGCCGTGAACCAACTCCGCACCTACCGCCGTGGCACAGCGGCGGTTTGCGCGCACGCTGACAAGCCGAATTCCATCAGATGTCTGGCCCTCCCAGAACCGCCAGAACCGCCAGAACCGCCAGAACCATATTTTTTCGGGGGATGGGACCTACGCACTGACCGCGGTCGCGTGTCACCGCATAAGTGTGACCAACAAGAAGAGCGCTGTCTGCGTTTGCTCGCAGTGCCTGCCAGCTCTTCTGCCCTGGTGACGCGGGCCTCGCGCGGAAGCAAATGGCTTGTGAGGACGTAGCTGCGCTACTCATTTCAGGGTTTAGAATTTGAGGCCACTCCACTCCACTCCGCTCCGCTCCACTCTATTCCACTCCATTCCGCGCCGCGCCCCGCCACTCCACTCCACTCCACTCCACTCCACTCCACTCCACTCCACTCCACTCCACTCCACTCCACTCCACTCCACTCCACTCCACTCCACTCCACTCCACTCCACTCCACTCCACTCCACTCCACTCCACTCCACTCCACTCCACTCCACTCCACTCCACTCCACTCCACTCCACTCCACTCCACTCCTTTCTCACTCACAAGCAGGGCGTCTTGCGGCCCGCCTCCATTTCCCGGTTCTCGCACACAGTGCATCTAGTCGTTAATGACCACGGGCAGGCACAGGCATTCTTCGAGAGAGCTAGCTCAATTATTTCCCTTCGCAACTGGTGGCTTCGGTTGGTGGTTTGGAGTTTTGGGCCCAAATTAGAAGACTGGCTTGCTGCATTCTACTCGACATGGAAGTGTAGCCGGCGTTTCAAATAGCGATCTTAGCAGGCGGTCCTACGGGTTCATGACCCCGGTTTCCGCAGGAAGAGGAGGAGCTGGTGCGACAGCCCGGAGGCGGGAACGGAGTTAAGGATGTTGAATAAAGTGTGAGGGGTGCTTAAGATGAGAACCAGCGATGGCTGGTGGGTCGGTCGGTTTGTTGGTTGGTTGGTCAGTCGGTTGGTCGGTTGGTTGCGACCTCAAATAGTAGGCAACAGTCAGTTGGCATGAACCAGTGAAGGTTACCCATCCAGAGCTCTTGATAATTGAGTTGAAAAGGCACGTGCGTAAACCAGAACTTGTTATAACGTACGCCTTCTCTTTGTGACACAACCATTAAACGGGAACACAGGTCACTTCTCCCCACAAGCATGGACAAACTCGCCTTGAAGCTTTCTACGAAGAGCAAAGTGCATGTGTTTACCAAATCCTTTGAACATCTGTTTCTATTCTTGAAAGGTGTGTGAAGCATTGTCACGAATGCGCATCGAAGCAACACCATTGCCCCAACTTAGTATCATGTTGTTGCTGAAATACAGAGCAATCGGTGTGACAATGCGCAAATCTGAAACAAGTGAATTCTGTAACAAGTGAAATTCAGGAGAAGTCGCCATGACTGGCATAGGGCTGCTTCTCGTTTCCCTATTCACTCTCTCTCTCTCTCTCAATGGCTGGTGCTCATCATGAATGCATGTGGCATGTCGTCTCAAGGCTCTGAATATAACCCTTTCTGGTGGTATATAGGGGTGGTATATCCTGAAAAATCGTAGGGTAGTTGGAACGCAGAATTGGGGACAAGAAGAATCCTTGCACTATTGCTTGTGCCAATGTCCAGGTGGCGCGAGCTTGCATGCGGCTGATATGTCAGAGTAAGAATGCTTACCTTGTGGCAATGCGTTGGGAGTATTAGAAGGTGCAAATGAACGAATCCACATTTCAATGAGCCATGGTGCAGAATTTGTATGAGCTATGCACCCTCCTCTTGTGGGCTGTACACCACCAATATATGGGGGAGGGGGGGGGGGAGGCATGTCAACATGCATGTGTATGCATCTATATATATATATATACAATACATATATGGTTTGGAGGATTTTGGAGGTACAATGCAACAATCCTTGATTCTTGGTAAACCCTTGTGTTGGTTGTCTAAAATCTCGAAAGGAAGTGTGGTCATGATGAATCCAGCACAAGTTGTGACCAGCTGGATGCTTGATAACGCGAGCCCATGATTTTCTTGAGCGATCCTTCAACACGAAAGCACACGTGTGCACACCTTCTCCTAACTCTCTCTCTCTCTCTCTGTTTCCTTCTTTCATCCTTTCTCGTTTTTCTATAGCCACGCGCGGCTTCGCTTTTCTTCGCTTTGGCCCTCGAACACGGGGCTCGCTCGCGCCCCACGCGCTCCCCGCTGGAGGCTACGACCTGCACTTCCGGCTGCAGCTCCCGCTGGAGGAGTCGGTGCGTAGGGCCTGCGGCCGGCGCCCGGGGCCCAAGAGCTGGTTTTTAGCGCCGCGAGGTGGCCGGATCCCCATGGAGCGAAGAGAACCTGCAGGTGGAGAGAGAACTGTCTGTTTTGTGTGTGTGTTTTTTTGTCGGGGGATGATGTTACCATTAATATTATTATTATGATTATTATTATTATCCAGTTTGTTCGTGTTTTTGGTTCCATGTCAATCTGGAGTGCTTCGGCCTGCCTTCATTGGTCATGGTGCGTCGTCATCACCATTGCAATTCAACGACGCCGGATGTATGTTAACGGAACTGCCTGGTCATTTGTTTATGGATATTTATGGATGCAGTTTGTATTCGGGATCATTGCAAGTGGAGATAATTACCAAATGGTGCTGGCATCAATTTCTAGCTGGCGGTTGCGAGGGAGCCAAGGAGATGGGGGTTATCCAAATTTGCTTGTTAGTAGGGAGCTAAGGAGCTACTGAGCCACGAGCAATTCTGTAAGGACACTGTATGGCACGTGTCTGTGGCTCAAAAAAACCGGTACCAAAATGGAACCCTAAGTGGAAACATGGACTAAACCCCGCGGTTGGCCCCTCGTGTTTCATTTTGAGCCACAGCCATGTGTGCTGTGAACCTGTGGACGAGCCGTTCCCAATGAAGAAGCTGGGGGCTTGGCAACGGTTGGTCTACCCGACATCTCCAAAGAAGGAAGCCAAAAAAAGGCAATCACACAAGTAAGGGCCAGAAGAGTTCTTTCAAGTTTCAATGCGACAGCCGTGGCAGGAATCCTGGCATCGAAAATGAGAATGGCTCGCTTCCACATAGGGTGTTTGCTTCAGACGGCATCTGGGGATCCGGCAATGGACATTGATTCCTTCATGAGAACCCGGATGCACAGTGCGCAAATTGTTCATGAACGGGTCTACAGGTATCTTGGCAAGTCTTCCAGGGGTGCCGATTCGAGGCATCGACCCTCTCACGAACCTGGAGTATCACATTGAGGACCGAGCGTGGCTTTGGTGGCTGTGCCGGGTGGGGCAGACAAACAGAAGCAGGTGAGCCGCGATCAAAACACCCATGAACATAGGTGTCCTTTCTGGTTGTTTTGGTAGAAAAATAGATGGCCCTGGTTTACCTGGTGGTTTAATCATCTACTAGGGCCATCTATTTTCACTAGAAGGACGCCTATGCCCATGAAGAATCCTCGTCTTGGGGCGCAGCATGGATTCTGTGAATGGAATGGTTCAGGGTGCGGAAGCTCGTGGAAGCAAAACCCTGCGTCGCGGAAGGTTGCGGAAGTCCCGCGGCTAGCAGCCCCATATTATGACAAGTTGTCCTTTTAATTTTGGTCACCGCTCGGGGGTTTGCTTCTGACTGGCTCCCCCGCAATTGCTGGTTGTCCTTTGGTTCAGATGTTGGATGCTGTCCTTTGGCTTAGATCGTAGATGCCAAAAGGGAAATAGCAAGTCCATTCGTGTTGCTTGCCTGCTTAAGTTAAAATCAGTGCCAGCTGTATGGGTGAATCATCACGATTCGCCTGTGCCTAACTAGTCAGCTAGTCAACTAGTCAGCCCAAGCTCACCTGATCCAGGGGATCAAGCGCCTCAAGATATCTAATCCAGGAGATCCAGATCGGAATACCAGTTTTGCACCCAAAAGACCCGAAGATCCTCGGATGGTTGTCAGGATTTCCGACCGGAGTTCCTCAGTCAAGAGGTTTTTTTCGCGGCGCGCGGGAATTGACTTCAGGATATGCCGCCGCCGAACGAGAAGACGGTGATCTACGAGAGGTGACGGGGGGCGACGAGAGGTGCTCACGTGAACTGGTGTCTTCTTTAGGGGGGCCTTGCACCGTAGTTTTCCCGTTGGTTTCCCTTCCATCCGCTCTAAAAGGGGAACCACAAAAAACACTCCACAAAAAAGCAATCCGCTCAAAAAGGGGTACCACAAAAAAACAATGCGCTCAAAGAAGGGGTACCACAAAAAGCAATCCGCTCAAAAAGGGTTACCCAACTTGGGACATGATAGAATGATTCGCCATCATGAGCCGCCCCTTGCTCCTTTTGGAGTTCTGGGTCGTTGAATGACTAATTGAAGAGTTATCTAGGTAGCTTCTTCCTTGCGGCGAACGCACTGCTCCCGTTGGTTTCTAGCAGGCGTATCCCAAGATTGGGGATGCCTCATGTCCTTGCCACTGCTCAATGGTTTGTAGCGGGGCCATCAGCGCCAGAATTCCTATTGCGAGCTTTTGCTTTTACGCATGTTCTTGGCATTTCGGAAGACAAAGACTGAGACCCGGAGTGCCTTCGCAGCCGCGGATCTTTCCCCAAGGCGCCCAGGGGAAGTCCAAGAGGATGCTCACATGAGTGGCCTGACGCAGTTGCCCGCTGGCTTGCAAGTTGATCATAGGGCTCATATCTGAGATAGCAAGTAACCTGCATGTCCCACCTGCCTTTCAACAAAAACTCGATTCACGGACACACTCAGATGATTTGGCACTTTGAGAAGGGCCGTGGTGATGCGCAACCAATGGATCTTGCGCTTGCGAGCACTAAGCATGCATTCAAGGTACTCTGCAAGCGCCAGTTGGACCTTCAAAATGCGTGGCTTTCGTTTAGTTTTCCCTTCAAACCAAGGTGAAAAGTGTCCCCCCCCCTCTCTGCAAAAAAAGAGTGAAAGGAAAGAAAGACAAAACAAGAAACACAAGAAGACCAAGAGACAGATGTGGCCCTCTTTGGCAACAAGACTGCATAGCCCGGATTTAACACCAAACCGCGGACGGACCACGGACGCGCTTGGGCTGAGAGTCAGTGCAGGCTGCAGCCAGCCGATAGCCTCGAGAAGTCGGGGCCCAAGGCCTTTGCAGTGATCCGATTTCTTGTGGCGAGTTTGGGTAACGAGCCAAACGGCTGATGTATTTGTTTAACAAAACAACTGGGAAATTCATTGTTTTACATTTCTTGTGGGCCTTCTGGGTAAAACGAGCCAAACCACTGATGTAGTTGTTTAACCATTGGGTACCCCACCCGAGCCCGAACCGGAACCCGAACCCCCCCTTTTTTTGGGGGGCGGAGGTTAGGTTAGGTGTTAGCCGGGGTACACGCTGCGTTTAACAGAACAACTGGAAATCCATTGTTCCACCTAAATTTGGACAGATGCTTGGCCAGTGTTCCCTTCCGTCTCAAAGTTACACTTGTGGATCTCTTGGTGTGAAGCAACGCGACCTGCGTGGCTTTGGTTTCAAGCCAGATTGTCAGCTTTCAACCAGCGGGGACTTTTCGTGACCTGTTCGTTTTTGTTGAGGTACATGTCAAACTAGGGGCATCCCCAAAATGGTGGGTGTCCTTTCTTGATATCCCTTTAAACCAACCTGAAAACGGTGCCCTGAACAACACACAAGCCCGGTTGTATGCTGCAGGTCAGCCCAGCGTATGACAACGACTCCGCAGCTACCATGAGATATGGCAAGGATCTTGTCATACTGAACAGCTTCCAGCTACTCGCTTTTGTGGCTTGTGACTGAGGTGATAGAGGGCAAACCGCGCCCCAGTTTCTGAAGTAGCTTGAATGGCCCGCAGCTTTGGCTGGAATGTTGGATACTGTGGAGAACATTTGCACATCTTGTTGGACTATATGTATATATACGGTCAACATGTGTCATCTTCTGTAGCCAAGGAAACAGCATTGATCCGGACTTAATATTATATATAGGTGTATTTTGAGGGTACCCTTTTCACCTTGTTAAGGGGAGCCAACAGGAGAACCCCCCAGTTTCTTTGTTTTGAGGGTTGCCACCTGAATTTTGAAGGGAAATGAACAGGAACCCCACCAGTCTTTCGGGTTTAAAGTCTGCTTTGAGACGTGCTCTTGGCGTTCTTCGGGACGCGCGTACCAAGGTCCACCGGCACCCTCACGCAGCGCATCCACTGCTTCGACGTGGCGCAAACGGAGGCGGGCTTTGGCCAAACGGGCCCCACGGCCGCGAGACATATGAGGGAAGCAACTAGTCCCATTTCCTTAAGAGTATGTCTGCCGGCTTTGGTTGGGGGCTTATGACGCTTAAGGGCCTGAAGCTTCGAGTATGTTTTATTTTCCCCAATTGGGTTTTAAAGAGAATCTATCACTACTGGAAGTATTTTTTCCCGTGGGCCAAAAAAGCAAATGGAAGAATACCCGCTTGTTTCAGTGTATTTCTTCTCAAAACCTGGTTCTCCATTGTAAATGCTTGCTTTTTCTAGTAGCGGGTTGACATCATACCCTGAGAAATCGGGGGTTATGTGGAGTAGGGGGGAGGAAGCAAGGGGCCCATGTCGGCCGGTTTGATGAAGTGCCAGGACTCCCTTTTGTTAGCTTTCAGATGAGTATGTTTTGAATCTACAGTCTCTTTCTGGCCCGATTTAGGATATGAAAGACACGTTTTCACGCAAACATGCATACACTATACATATATATATATATATATATTAGCCAAACAAGAGGGTGGTGGTCCTTGCAGAAGTTTCAACCAGACGATCTGCGATGGCTGCTGTTTGGGCACCTCAAACCTTTCCACTTGGAAGGTGGCTTTGATCTGGTTAGCTTCGTTTGCCGGTATTTCAGGCGATGCGTCTCCCACAACGAGAAAGAAAGGGAGGGGGTCACAGTTCGGGGTTTGTCTCAAAATCGGCGAATTCCCCCCCCCCCAAATCAAATAAATAAATAAGTGGCCCTCCCTTGATTGTCCTTCTCACCAGGCCACCCCCAACACACCGTTCAAGTCCCGTTCCGTCGGAAAAATCGCCTTCCCAGGTGGACGAGATCCTGGAGCACTTCGGGCCCTTCGCGGACGTGCCGCGCCTGGTGGAGGCCTCCGGAAGCCGCGGAGTCGGCGTCCGTTTGAGGGTACCCGTTGTTTGAGGGTACCCGTTTGGGTTGAAAGGGAAACCAAGATAAACAACCAGCATGTTTGGTGGGGTCCGATATTGACACGTACCGAGGTAAAAAGGGCGCTTTTGGCGTCCTTTTGAGGTGATTTCGGCGAGAGATAGATGGGTTCCACTGGTTGAGGTTGGTGTGATTCCATGGACCAGGGCCATCTGTTTTCCCAAAAAGGACACCTATGGAGGGATTTCTCCGAGGCAAACGCAGGGGGTTCTCCCTAAAACCAGACAGACCCTTCGTGGTTAGCAGCTGCTTGAAGAGGCGATCGATTCGAGTACGCCGGGTAAGTGGTTAGTTGTGTTTTGTGTGCTTCCAAAGGCGAGTGGCTTGGAGCAAGGGGTGGTTTGGACCAGAATGGTGAAATTTTCCCATGGTTTCAATGAAACTGAAGTTCCGATCCCCAATCCAGACCACCTCAAGGGGTACCCGAGTTCGGGTACTTAAAGGGACAATCGATTCGGTACGTCAGGCAAGGGGGTAGCTCAACGGAGACGTGCAAGCATGGCTTTGATGATGAATGTGTTTCCAAACGAGTGGCTTGGAGCAAGATCTGGTTTGGATGAGAATGGGGAACCTGATTTTCCCATGCATGGTTTCAAAAGAAACTGGAGTCCCCATCCCCCAATCCAGACCACCTCAAGGGGTACCTGAGTGTGGGCACAAAAAGAGGCACGATCGATTTGGCACGTCATGTAAGTGGTAAGTAAGCCTGCTGGTTATAACCCACTTTGGAGACGTATAACCATGGCTTTTGTGGGTTATAACCAGGCTTACTAACCACTTACCAAGTACCATGCCCATTTAAGTACCCCTTTTTTGCCTACCAGGGAAATGACCATCAATCACCAACATTTTGGATTATGGGGCTCTCACACCGACACACCCCAAATACTCGTATCTCTTTAGGGATCGCTCTTCCCGGTCTGAAGCATCTTTCTTTGTTGGTTTTGAAGAGAAACCAAAAGGAACACCACACTCCCCCCCCCTGCCCCCAACCAAAACCAAACAACAACCTAACACCACCACCCCTCCCCAACAACAATTGAATAAATCCAATCTAAAAAAAGGACACACCCAAACATCTTTTCAGGGCTGGTTCTTGTCACTCGCCAGGTGAACGCGACGGGCTCCAACGATGAGACCTTCGAGGCAATTGAGGAGCAG